GGGGGGGTCGGGAGGAAGGTTAGGGAGGGACTTAGACGGCGAGCAGGGCACATTGGGCCACGGGGACCGGGCCTCGCGGAGAGGAACGCACCCGGCGCTGATCTTCTCGCGAGCCAGGGAATCAATCATCTTGGAGCCGAGGTCGTAAATGGTCTCCATGTCGGTCGTCTTCATGGTGATCTTCCCGACCTTGGGGCCCTGTTGTTGTTGTTGGGGGGGGGGGTATTTGCAGAAAGTGTGCGTGCGCAAAGGAAGGGAAAGAGAGAGAGAGGGGGGGTGAGAAGCGAAGTCGGTGATCCGCGAGACAGAGCCATCGGGCATGGAACACGGGCAAGCTGCCATGTGTGGTGGGGGAGGGGGACGTGGGAAAACGCACCACGCCGGAGGCCGGGCGGTCGATCTGGATCTCGACCACCTCACCACGAATGAGCTCAACCTCCTCGCGGATGCGCACACCGATGGACTTGCGGAAGGCCTGCATCAGGGCTGTCGGCATGGGGTGGTCAGTGGATGGACAGACGGCTGGATAAGCAGGCCGACAGGCCAGCGGCAGCGGTGTTGGCGAAGGTGACACCATGGCGTCCACAGGGGGCGCACCCTCGGTCTTGCTCATCTCCAAAGAAAAGACCTCCGAGGCCACGAGCGAGGTGAACGGCACATCGGGGCCCAGAGTCTGGGCCATGGCCAGTGCGAGGGCTGTCTTGCCGGTACCCGGCGGCCCGGCCAGCAGGACGGCGCGCCCGGCGTGACGGCCAGCTTGGACCATCTTCACGAAAATCCCGGCAGCTGGAGGGGGCGCATGTATGTCAGCCGCCACGCGATTGGACCGCATGAAAGGGGGGGGGGGGGAGGGTGGCGTACCACGGCGGGCGCTCTTCTGGCCAACCATGCCTTGGGCCTCCTCGCGGGCTTCGAGCTTCTCATTGAGCCCGAGGCCGCGGATATGCGAATGAACGCCTGGCGGAGCGGAGGGGGGGGGCAGAAGAAGGGGGTCAGGTCATGCCGGCGCGATGTGTATGTGTGAATGCGCGAATGTGCGCTGTGGAGACATGGAGAAGCCATACCAATCCGCTCGACCCGCAGGATGTCACTCGACTCGGGAATCTTGGTAGCCTTTGGTAGTGGGCCGAGGGGAAAAAAGAGGCGGGAGCAAGTTTCAGTCAGCGCAGGGACGCAGGAGGGAGCAGATGGACACCCGGTTGTCGCTTTGCTGGGAAGACAAGCGCACCATTATGACAGGGGGTTCAAAGTGGGAGGAGGAGGAGGGGAGGAGGCAAGAAAAAGGAAATGGAGAGAGGAGGCAGCACAAGGAGGAGATGGGGAGGGAGGGGGGTGGGAGGGGGAAATGGAAGGGGTCATGGCATGCCTCCGGCAGGAGGATCCGGGCACAAGCGTGGCCGAAAAGGCAAAGCGCGTACGGGCAGGCAGGAGCTTCGTTGGCATCTGGGCCGGAAGAGCCCAGCGTGGGTACCTTCGAGCGATGATGCCCGGAGCGCGTCCCAGAATGCGGAGAATGGTGTTCCGCTCTTCCGGTCCAGCGGCCGCGCGCCTTCCGCGGGCGGCACACACACACGCACATAAGCGCCAAAGGTGTACGCAAGCTTGGGTCTCGCGTATCATCGTATGCATGTGGGCGTGGCGGGAAGAGGGGGTAAGGGGGGGGGGGGGGGGCTCCGAGGTGCGTCCGGTGCCCAGGAGAGAAGCGAAACAGTGTGCCCTGCGGTGGCTAGGTTGTCCAACCCGGGCGAGTGTGTGCATCGGACGCCGTCGACTACAACCGGCGTGTGGCGGAGAGGGGGACGGGGGGCCGGGGACGGCAGCCGGACACAATGAGCAGGGACAGGCGCCAGACGTGTGCACATGCATCTGGCTGAAGAAACTCGCCTCCCACTGCAGGGGAGCCGGCCCCTCCGAGGACCGGAAAGTCGAGGGCGGTTCTCCTCAACAGGCTCCGCCGTGCTGTCTCGCGCCCGGTGCCGTCGCACTCACACCCCCCCCCCCC